CTCCCTCCCTTCCTTCCTTCCTTCCTGTTCTTTCCCACCAAGTCCAGTTTGTGCTGCTCATACATGCACATGGATGAGTGCAGGCTTGGTGGGATGTGTTCATCTTGCCAGGGACCATTCCCTAAAGGAGACTGACTCCTCTTCTCCCAACATCCATCATCTGTCAGTATCTGTCAGTAGTTCTTCCGCACAGGGTAGGGGCTTAGGACCACTCCCTCCTGCATGCTGAAATGCTGACTGGCTGGATAGTATGCAGGCAGCCACCAGTGCTGTGCTCCTGAATACACCGGTTTTGGTTATACTCAGAAGACATTGGTTTATCCTGTTCCTCCTTGACCTCTGACTCTAACAGCCTTTTGTCCCTTCTTCCACAATGTTCATGAGCCTTGGAAGAGAAGAGGCATAATATAGAGGAGCCCATTCATGGTAGAGCACTTCTCAGACACTGACTGACTCGCTGCATGACCCATAGTGAGTTCCTGTGTTAATAGCTGTCTGCTACACAAAGACGCTTCTCTGATGAGAACTGGATGCTGCTCTCATCTGGGGTGTAGAGAGATGAGTATTTAGAAGGCAGCGTGATGCTGGAGGTTCACCCGTGGGACATATGAGCTCCGCAGCTATGAATTCTTCGTGAGATTTACTTCACCAGGCCTGTGTTTCTCACTGTGAAATGCCCTTGTCTTGGTTAGCTTTAATGGTCAACTTGACACAGCCCAGAGTTATCTGAGAAGAGAAGCCTTCATTGAGAAATGTATAGGTTAGTCTATGAGTCTGTTTGATTGTTAACTGATGTAGGAGGATCCACCCTGCTGTGGGTGGTACCACTCCTCAGGTGGTCATCCTAGCTCTATAAGATAGATTGCTAAGCCAGGAAGCCAGTCAGCAAGCAGCTTTCTTTCATGACTCCTGCCTCTAGATTCCCGCCTCTAGATAGTTGCCCTCACTCAGCCTCGGTGATGATGGAGTGTGTCCTGCAGATGTGGCCAGGACTTCCTCACAGCACTCATGGGCACATCTGGACAGGCTGGTCATTATCCAGGCTGCTCATTGCCATAGCTCACAGCTGGCTCACAGCTGGCTCAGACTGCTGGTGACTTCTCGCTCAGTAGCTTGCATAGCCCCTCCTGATTCTGAGAGAGCTAGCCAGCAGGGAGTTGTTTATAAACTGCACATCTCTCTCTTTGTGGCCTTTACAAACGTCCTCTTCTCCCCTTTCCCACCTAAGCCCGGTTCCCCTTTCTTCCTTTGTATTACCTTAGCATGGAGTCTTTCTTGGTTTTGGTGTAAAAGATTACCAATAACTTGTTATCAGCAATTTACCTCCTTATTTATTTCTCCTTTAATAGGTTTTAACATTTATTTTCAGGTGTTATCCTCTATGTCTTCATCATTTGAACATGGTCATATATCTTTTTTTTTTGATATTTTGTAAGAATAATAGGAACATGAAATTATAGCCATCTGGCCTATGCCCTTCCTCTAGGGAAGCACAAAGGCAGTATTCAGACAGTCACATTCCCAGAGTTCCCAGTGTTGTGTTAGTTGTTAGTGTCATCCACGGAAAGCCTAGATAACTTAGCTAGCCGCATAGCCAATGGGAGAGGAGCCAGGAGTACTGCCTACACACCTGCAGTCACCCCTCTCCCTCTACCCAGCCATTCACCCACATATAGTTAGCCTTAGTAAATAAGTAATATAGAAATGGTTCCTGACAGTCTTCGCCCATAGGATGGTCATAGTCTACTGGAAGGGAAGCATAGGAGCAGCATTATAGAATACACTCAGATGGAAGTGTCTACAAGCCTGAAATTTGAAGGGTTGAGATTGCATTTAGGTGTCCTAAACTCATCGATATTACCCATGGGTAGGTGGTACGGGAAGTGCACCCCAGCAATTAAGGGTCACCTATGAAAAAGCAATTGTCTAGAGAGGTTGAGGGCTTGAAGAGAACTGCCAGGGATCAGCAGAAGACGTGCCACACAGGTGGGGAGCCCAGAGAGCACGAGAGCCATTGCTAGGTAGTGCTTGCAGTAGTGTTCAGTACCGCAGACTGAAGAGTGCTCTCAGGTCTGACACAGCTTACTTGTTTTGAGAGAGAGAGAAAGAGAAAGGGTGGTGGTGGCGGTGGCCTGCTGTATAGCTCTAGTGAGCCTGGAACTCAGAGATCTGCTTGCCCCTGCACCTGAAGAGCTGGAATTAAATGCAAGTGGTACCACGCCCATTTGGAAACCAGTGCTTTGCTTTAGCAACAAGAAAGATTGAGGGCTGATGAAGCTGGGAAACCAAGGAAAGGAGGACAAAACTGCATTGCCTTCTCTGAAAGGCCTGTTTATAGAGTTCATTTTAGAACTTAAGGTATATCAGTTTCTCCTGCAGTAGCTTTCTGTCCCCAGTGACTTCCCTCAGGACATCTTTGATAGAGAAGGACCTATGTCAGCTCTTGGTAAGAGGCAATGATTATGCTGACAGAAATAGTTGAAGTAAAAAATGCCAAGTGTTTGCTCTTTCTCACTAGAAGAACATTACTTGGTGTTGTAAATTCCATCTCGTTATCTCTGTTTCAGGGACGGGAAGGTGCAGAGATCGAGCCCTGGGAAGATGCTGATTATCTTGTTTACAAAGTCACCGATAGATTTGGCTTTTTACAGTAAGTCACACAGATTGAAAGCTGTCATTTTTTAGTTATAATCTTACCTTGGTTATCTGTTATTAAATTTAGTAGATTTTTTTTTCTAAGATTCCAGGAGTGATCTAGTATACTTTTTGTTCCTAGCATTTTTAACTACCTTGGTTAAAATTGAGCTATAGTTAAGAATGTCACCTGTACTACCTTTGTGTTTTGTAAAGCGCACAATCAGTGCATAAATGAGTTATATTAATAATTTAACAGTTAAATGCACATAGATAACATTTATATTTTTAAAATATTATAAAACAATTTTATATGGGTGAATTTTCAAAATAACTAGCAATTAGAAAATGAGTGTTGCACAACCTAAGATTGAGCAATGAAAAAAAAATGTCAAATGGATCTTCCTTATAGCTGTAAATGTAGTCCTGATACCACTTCTCAAGATTGACTCTGTCTGTCCTATGCTCTGTAGAGCCTTGGGTGAAGGAGACTACTAGTAATTCAGTTAAAAGATGTTGGCTCATAAAGCTGTCCCACAAACTAATGTCCATCGGGAGGGTTAGGTCCTAGTGTTGTCTAAATTGTGTGTTCATCTTACTGATTGGCTGGCTTCTGGTTATCGAATGATTTCATACTTTGTCTAGAGAAAAGAATCAGAATTACTTTCCATGATGTAAGTGTGCCGAGGCTTTGAAGAAGTCAGATGTGGGAGTATCTCACAAAGCTCGTGTTACGTTTCGAGCTGGTGCCTGTGTGACGCCGTCTGAGACTGGGTTTCACTAAAGGACAGCAGAGCCTAGGATCCAGTCACTGTCCACAACTCTCTGCCTTCGCTGTTTTCATTTCTTCCTCCTTTTTTCTTCCTCCTTTTTTCTTCCTCCTCCCTGTCCTCCTCCTTTCCCCCCCCCCTTTCTCTCTGTCTCTCTTCTCTTGTCATTGAACTGCTACAACTGTGGTGAGAAGCCATGGCATTTGTGTTAGTCACATGCAGACCTGGGATGTGAATCACGTTTTGAAGGACAACTTGAGAGTAAAGACTCTCTTAAGCACAGTAGGTTACAGATTTGGTCTTCATATTAGAAAAGTTGAAAAAAAGATTTCTAGGTTCTGTCCTAGATTTTGATTCAGAAGATGGGATGCAACTCAGTTCATTTTGACCATTCCATCCATATAATTATGTGTTTTTAAGAATTGTAGTGTAAATAGTATCAAATGCACTTAAGAAACCCCTACTTTCCTAAAGGGACCTAAACTTTCTTTCTTGCCAGTTGAAACAAATTTAAGTCATTTTAAGACAAGTTCTTGCCCAAGATCCAAACTTGATCTGTCAGTTAAAATGTTGTAGTTTATTTTGCTTGTTGTTTTGTTTTAATTTTATTTTATTTTTCAAGTTTGAGCTGAGGTCTATTAGGCTGTAGTGGGGGGGAAAGTCAGCCAATAACGTACCTTGATAGTCTTAGTTAATATCATTGAGTATTTCCTGTATGCCAGGCAGTGTTCTAAGCATTTACTCTTTCTCTGGGTTCTAGATGGTGAGCCTGTAGTGCTCAAGTAAGTTACCTTCAGCTGACTGACAGGTCAGCTCCTAGGATAGGGTCTCGGGGGGGGCCTTACTTCAGAGCTGTGCTGCTGTTGCTGTCTACTGTTGCCTTCTTTTGTTTTAATGAGGGCCAGGAAGAGCACTGTGAAGTGCCTACACAGAAGACTGAAATTGCTGCTTCTAACAACATACACACTAAGACAGCATTACCTTTGAAAATGGCTGCTTCTATCAACATACACACTAAGACAGCATTACCTTTGAAAATGGCTGCTTCTATCAACATACATACTAAGAGAGCAAAGGTGACCATATCTTGGAAAAAAAATGGCAGGTACCAGTTCTCGTGATGTCACACCACTCAGGTCATAAAACCTGCTTTATACTGGAGTCCCAAAACAGAAGCACAAATGAAAACAGTGCTGGAGAAGTGGATTCCAGTGTGACGCTCGGCTTTAGTGACTGTATCTCTTACAGTGTCTACTCTCAGTGAAGCTTTCCTCAGTTTGCTGATGATGGCTGTTATTGCTTGCCACAGTAGATGGGACTTTATCATACCATTGGAGAGAAATTTTGGTGTGAACATCTAGATATTACTTTCAAAAGAGAGGTCAAAAGAGCACCTCTCCTATCTTAGCTGTGTGTAAGGTTGGATTGTTGCTACAATTGAAATTAGATTTTTAAATTCATTGTCAATACAGTACAATTCAACACACAATCTACTAGCCTGATAGATATGCAGAGTACTCACTGATATTAACTAAGATTGCTGTGATATATAAAGGAGTGACACAGTCTAGGATTGACTTGGTTTGGTAACAGAGTTCACAGTGAGTATAAAAGCTGTTGCCAAACCAGCCTGTGGTGCAGTCACAGCTGCACACTGGAAAAGTGGAGCTTGCTTAGGAGCTTGGAGAACTTTAAATGTTTAGCAAAACTAGCCACCATAGTCTTCTGGACTAAAGAATGTCTGGTATTTGTGTAATGATAATAATGTTTTTAGGTCACAAGTTTTTAATAGAAGAGAGAATTAAAAGGAAACTGTACCAAAAATAGAGGAGGTCAGATAACACTAAGCATCAGATGTTCAACTACTTATCCAAATGTATGTATTTATAAAAGGTAATGGAGTCAGCTGTAGGTTCCTGTGCCTATATAGGTCTGTAAGAGACAGTGAGAGAAGGTGCTTCTGCTTCCAGTATCATCCATTTTGATTAGAAAGGTGGCAGAACTCTTACCAATCTTAGATACAGATTTTAACTAGGTTAAAATCTTCCACCTCCCATCTCCTGCCTAGCTATAGGCTGTAGGCAGTTTTATTCGCAGATTTATTTAATGAGGGATAATTTGGGCAGCAAGGTTACTTAGCATCATTTGGCTCTACCTGCTATTCTCTTGTCCCTGGGGGCAGCCAGGCCTTGGGAGCCAGTATTTAGCATTATAGTACAAAGCAAAAGACCAAACCTCAACACTTGTCAGCTGAGTGTTGTCTCTGAGCAGTTCTATATGTGCCTACAAAGTCTAATTCTCTAAAGCAAGGGATATATACTAGTCATCTGTTAGCAAGACCCAGATACTAAATGTTTTTTGCATTTGTGGGCCATGTATCTTTATCACAGTGACTCAGCCCTGATGCTATAGGGGAGAACAACCCTAGATCCCAGACAGTACCTTAATGAGTAAGAATGACAATGTTCAATTAAAACTTTACTTATAAAACAGACAGCAAACAAGATTTGACCCATGGACGATCATGGTTTGCTTACCTGGAGGAATACTCATCTGTGTATTCTGACTGTGCTCTCTTCCTTTTTTCTGCTTGAAGGAGATTTGAGTAGCAAGATACAGACTATTAGAACCAGTGTGGTGGCACACACGTTTAATCCCAGCACTTGGGAGGCAGAGGCAGGCCCGTCTCTGGTATACAGAGAAAGTTCCAGGATATCCAGGGCTATGCAGAGAAGCCTTGTCTTGAAAAAAAAAAAAAAAAAAAAGATGGTGGGAAGGAGAAAGAAAAGAAAAGATAGAGATTATTGGCATAGGCAGACATGCCTTTAGTACACATCTGTGTGGCGTTCTCTGATCTCAGATGGCTGTGAGCCTCAGCATGTGCCTGCACAGAGACTTGAGGACAAGGTCTGTAAGATAAGTGTGCACGCAGCAGATTCAGTCTGGGGGAGTTCTCGGTATGAGCTATGAGATGATCCAGTTGTGTTCTGTCTTCTATCTATGAGGTCTGAAGATTGAATTCAATCCTTACAATTTCAGTTTTTTCTGAAACTGGTCTCATCCACTGTCCTTTTTCTTTGTACACCCCAGCAATAGCTAAAGATGATGTAAATGCACTGGATTGTGTAGTAGGAAACATTTCTGTGTTAGGCTAAGTGACTAAATGGAAATGTTTATTTTCTTATCTATGAGAAGAGGGATTTGGGCTTTCTCTCTAAGTTCTCTTCTGTCTTTATACCACTTTTGTCAGTTCTATTGCTGTAGCTAAATGGTTCATGTAAGAACTCTTCAGAGAAACAAAGAATAACATAGAAAATACTAGGCTCGTGAATAATAATCTGTCATGTTCTTAAAAGTGGTGCCACTTGATCTCAAGAGAAAACAGAAGCAAAAATATGCACACATTGTCACCAAAACATCCATACTGTTGAGAAAGCTGCTGAAATCAGTTTTGCTTATATGCAATACTTTATTTATTACTGACAGTTAATATAAGAGACTCAGGATACTTTAACATTAGAGGTGATAGCATACATGGACCAGAGAAATGGTTTTGTTCTTTTCTATATTAAAAAGACACTGTTGAAGTTTTGACAGCAAAGTTCTCTTTATTTTACAGATTAAAGGGGAGGGGGTTTTTAAAATTCACCAGCCCATTGGAAGCTAATTTTTCTTTCCTTTTCTTTTCCCTCTTTTTTCTTTTTTGATATTGGGAATTAAACCTGGGGCTCCACTTATGCCAGACACATACCATACCCTACCACTGAATTACATCTTCAGCATCTGTGTGTGCTTGTCTGTGTGAGTGACGCACACACTCAGACAGATGTACAAGTTCATGTGTTTACATGTCCACATGTGTGTATACATGCATGTAGAAGCCAGAGGTCAGCCTTGGATGTTTCTCAGAAGCTATCATTTTTCCCTCAGTCTAGATTTCTCATTGTATTTTGTAACCCAGCCAGTTAGACTAGGCTGGCCAGCCAGTGAGCCCGAGATCTGTCTCTGTCTTCCTAGTGAATGTCACCATGCCTCTGTTTATGTTGCAATTGCTAAGGATTGAACTCTGGTCCTCCTCCTTGTGTGACAAGCACTTTACAAGCTGAGCCATCTCTCCTGGTCTCCCAACTCTGATTTTACATTTTAATTTAAAGACAGAGTCTCACTAAGTTGCCCATATAGGCTTTGAGCTCACTGATACCCAGGCAGTTGTTGAATTTTATATTTTTCTTCTACTCAGCCTCTTGATTAGCTGGGGTTTTAGTTCTGGCCCTCCAGGCCTGGCTCCAGTTTTGTTTTTTGGTTTTTTTTTTTTCCTTTTTTTTATTTTTCGAGACAGGGTTTCTCTGTATAGCCCTGGCTGTCCTGGAACTCACTTTATAGACCAGGCTGGCCTCAAACTCAGAAATCTGCCTGCCTCTGCCTCCCAAGTGCTGGGATTAAAGATGTGTGCCACCACTGCCTGGCTCCAGTTTTTTTTTCTTTATTCAAATTTTAAGCAGTTATTTTATTTTAGTCAATAGTTGGATCCATGAGTGAAGGTGTTGGTCTAGGACACCAGATAGTAGACCAACCTAAGTGTCTAGCTTGCCACTTGGCTTTGTAGAAGTTCTGTGGAGCTTACTTTACCTAATCTGTGAGAACTGTCACACCAGCACAGTTGAGGTCACGTAGTTTTAAGAAAGACTATGTGTGAGATTCACGAAGCCTAAAACATTTACTGTTTACTGTGGCTGAACCCTGGCCTAGGGCAGCGTTCTCCAACAGAGCTTTCTGCCGTGATAGAAATGTTCACTATGGCAGTCTCTAGCTACATGACTTTTGTGTAGTTGGATTGTTGCTAGACAGACTTTGAATTGTTCCCTGTAGGATAGTTTGAAGTTGAGGCATGTTGTGACAGTAGACCAGGTATATTTTCTGTTGAGTCGATGGGATGGAAACATGAGAGTCAGGTGTTACATAGGATACAGTTAGTAAGAGTCTGCTCTGATGCCAACCATTCCTGTTTGTTGTTCTCTGCAGTGAGGAAGAGCTCCCGTATCACAATGCAGCTGCGGACCGGGTAAGTGCGGGCTCTTTGTTTGTTTGTTGTTATTGATGGATTGCCTCGAGGAATTGAATCTACTTTTGTCATTTTTGAGTGCTGTATTGTATGCAGCTGGCTTTGTTAGAATTTGACCATAATTGTATCACTCTTAAGAAAGTAACTGAAATAAGCATGAAGTGGGTTTAGGAGGATTTATGAAATTCTCATCTTTCTTTAAAAGTATGGAAAAGGATAGCACTCTAAAATGTTCAACCCCAGCTTCAGGTTCTACCTGTAGGAAACAGCCTCTGTAGCAGGAACTTTTAGCCATCTGTCCATCTGTCCATCCATATCAAGTAGGCTTGTGTGACATTGATGTTTTTTGTTTGGCTGTTTTCTCTCAACTTTTGCTAGTTCTTTGAGACGTCCACATGGTGCATTTTGGTCACTCTTCCCTCCTTCCTTGCCACTCAACTTTGAGTCCTTTTTGTTTTTAAACCCATCAAATTTTGGGTCCCTGTATATTCTTGGATGTGTGGCCTTTACTGGAGAGTGGTCAGCCCTTTAAGAAAATGGTCTCTCCCCTTCTCAACAGCTATCAGCTGCCAATAGCTTCCTAGCCAGCAACTGGGTGTGGCTTCTTGCCCACCTCCCTCTTCATGCTGGGATTTTGTCTGGCTTGACCTGTGCAGATCTTATGCATGCTGTCACAACTGCTGAGAGTGCATATGTACAGCTGCCCTGCTGTGTTAGGAAATAGTTTCCTTGTCTCTGATATTTCTGCTGTCTCTGGTTCTTACACTTTTCCATCATTGTATCTTAGCCTCGGAGAAGAGGATGTGACATAGATGTCCCATTTAGGACATAATTCCTATTCTCTACACCTCGAACAGTTGTGGGTCTGTTAACCACCTCCCACTGTCAAAAGAAGCTTCTCTGACGAGGCATGACAGCTACAGTAGTCTGTGGGTACAGCAATGAGTCATTAGGAGTAATGCATCCCAAGTGATGCTTATGAACCCTCTGGATAATAGTGCACCACTTTAGACCAGGAGCTCTGAGAAAGTAACTGTCCATGAGATTTTATTCAACTTCCTACAAGTAAGGACTAAAACACTCCCTGTGGTCAGTTCACTACGTTAGCATTTTAAGGACTTAGACAGGTGACACAGTAAACCTGTCAGTTTTTCTCTAAGCATTTCTTCACTGTACTTAGCGAGGAGCTGTTCTCCACCTAGGCGTGCGTGAGAAGTGGGGACTAGAGGTCTCAGTTGCTCAGAACTTCCGGGTCCCTTTCTCTTCCAAAATGAACTGGAGAATGAAAGTGAAGGGATTTTGTTTGTGTGGATTCTACTGGGGAAGGGAGATGAGCTTCAGACAGTGCAGGTGAAATTAAAAATGTAATTTAAAAATATTTTAGGAAGATTTCTAAGATCAAAATATTCTGAAAATCAAAACTGTTGCAAAACCTTAAGATGTAAACAGAATTGTTATTTTCGATATATGAAGAATACCTTTGGACACCTCCTGCAGGCGATTGATAGGTTGCTGGGTTCTCTGGTACTATCTATAGCCAAGAAGCTTTGACAGGACTTTTAATAGCTAGATAGCTGACTAATAAGCCTCTGTCTGTCTCTTCTTGTGTCCTGACTTTCTTAGTCTTCTGACCCATTGACACCACCACAGGACCCCCTTCTTCACCCCCATCTTTTCTTTCAGCTCAAATTATTATAGCCATTACAGATGGTCTCTAACATAGTAGTCTCCCTCCCTCCCTCCCTCCCTCCCTCCCTCCCGCCCGCCACCGGCGCCCCCCCCGGCCCGCCCAGAAACAAAAAAAAAAGTGTGTGTGTGGTTGTGTGT